TCTCTTTCGCCGCGTTCAGCTCCGACTCGTCCTCGATTTTGTGTTGGGGGATGGAGTTGTGTGGAAGGGAGATGCTCCGTCGAATAGCCGGAGGCTGCACTCCCCGCGCCACGGCCACGAGATACGCGCGCGCTTCTTGGATTATCCTCACTATGGCGCTCCCCTGCGTGTCGTTCCAGAATCTGTTGTCATCCTCCCAAAGTTTGGCGGCGACATCCATCGCATGTGTCGCCGCTCGTTGCCCGTGTAGCCTGTGCACTAGAGCCTCGTCGTCTTCCCCGGCTGCCGCGCCATCTCCTCCCTTCGGGAGTTCAACCGCCACTCCCGGGACCGCCACGGTGCCGCCTCGTGCCGCCATCGCGGGAAATCGCAACGTCCCACCTTCAACCGCTGCTTGGGAACTCCCCGCCACGTCTGCAGCTGGGGTTCGGGGGCGATTCACTGGCGCAAGCACGCGTTGCGCAGTCTCATGCGAGGCGGACCCTTCCTTCGCGCGGCCACCGACGTCCCTCCTTGCCACGTCACGTGCCACGTCGACAAAGACTGGTTGGTTGGCCGCGGCAACGCCACCGCCGCGCCATGCGGTCGGTGTCCCTTCCCCCCCCTCGTTTATTCTAACCCCCCCCCGCGGAACTAACCCTCGCCTTCCTCTCAAGTGGTTCATCGTCGACGTCTTCAAAGTCGTCGTCGTCGTTCGTCATCTCTTCCTCCACCACAACCTCCTCCACAACGTCTCGCGCACTGCCAGCGGGCACGGCTTGGACGACCTTCCTCTGCCTCTTCGCTTGATGCTGTCCCTTCTTCGCGGGGGCCGGGCCTTCCACGATCCGCTTCAAGGCAGCCTTCCCCCGTCCACCTCCGTGGGAAGACATGGCGGATCCGACAAAAGCGCCTTCGATCGCGGTCAGTGGTCCGCAGAGCTTGCGGACGAGTACACCGTGTGGCGGCTAGATGATTGCAGGGCGGCGAGAATGGAAGACAGAGAATGGAACAGACGGCTATGATTACACGGATGGATTACAGGGTGGCGAATGACGGACAGGGCGACTACGAATGACTGCAAGGGTGACGACGGCGAATGGCGGCACGATTAACGGCGGCAAGGGTGACGATGACGAGCGACGACAAGTGACGACAGGGCGAGGACGACGAATGACGGCAAGATGATTGGCGGACGACAGAGATGGTAGACGACGTGCGTCGCAGATGGGTACGTGGTCGACGACGACAGTGCCCGTTAACCAAGTTGCGCGGCGGGAGCAAGCGACATCACAACAACGCACGAAAGGCAGACAAGAGCGCGGCGAGAAAGCAGTCCACTGCAGTGGTCGCAATCCATGCACGCACTCGAAACGCGTTTGGGGATGAGTGGCCCATGCTCGTGATTTATTGAGCGCGTGGACGGTGGCTGGGAGTGATGCCACGACGACCTTTCGATGAAAGTGCGACGAGTACTCTCGCCGAACGACGATGGCCTGGAGCACATTGTCGACGGGGAGTGGGAGTGCGATGTGACACCCTCCGTCCACGCAGGCTTCAAAATAATGGATATCCCCGTGGACCCTGCCCCCCACCGCGTCATCCAGGACCCCCTCCGATAACCCACTCCCCCCCCCCCCCCCCCCCCCCCCCCCCCCCCCCCCAGCTGACATTTCCCCCCCCCCCCGCCCGTCCAGACTCCCACAACACACAAATGGACTGGAAAACA